AAAATCTATACAAGAAGAGACATTGCTTGTGTAAAGCTGTGAAGGGCATATAGGAAGAGGGTGGAGCAAGCCAGAATTCAATATTGACACTCGAAGCAGACAAACAACTCTATTTCTCTAAACTGACATATACCCTGATCCGTGTGGCATTTTTCCTGAAATGCACACAAGCAAACTCAAACTACATGTACCTGTATTGGAAATTTTTCTCATGTTTTTCATGCACTATTTATCAATGCTCGCCATTTAAATATTCCTCTTGGCTACGGTTGACAACAGACAGGTTGTATCTATATGTACATGTACGATGTCATTCGTCATTAAAAATATTGATTAACTATACAATTATCATATCTTCGCACACTATCAAATTATCGAATTATGATTCGTCACTACAACAGTAAGTGGCCGGGATCTATAGTGGGATCATTTAATGTTATATTATACGAGAGTAGTACACACAAGTTCAAACAATATATGTAATTTCAATTTATTTTCCAATAATTAGGAATGCTTGTTTAATTAGTCATAAAAGAATGACACAGAGTCGACTCTTTGACAACAGTTTTTGGTATATTTACATATAAATTATAAAGGGGAATTTTTTACTTTGATCACCCATTTATATAAATAATAAATACAGAATATTCTGATTTCTTTTGAAAAACCAATAACCCTAGGGCTACAATTGGCGTATTTTAAAATTTCTTCTCTCTTGAGATTTAACAGGTATTTCTTACATTATTTGATAAACAAAACTTCAATTTTACCCCAGGGCCCCATTTTACCAATTATTTACTTGCTCCCAGACATAAAGTTATCTCTTTCTGCTTCACCAAATACGTAAGAAAGATTTCACAGCTTTAAGCCTATTTAAAAGTTACTGGGATGTTTGGCAGACATATTTTTGATATTATCTTATACCAAGTTCTCATTAGATGTCACCTCATTTCTTCAATGTATTGGATTGTGTCATGGAAGTCATAACACCTTCTTGATATAATTAAATACTATGAAAAATATATCCAACTATTGTATAGTCGAATGTTATGGATGAAAATCTACCTTCTAAACTCGAGTTAAGCACTGATTAAAATACGATTGTCACACAGGCTATAATTGGTCTGATAAATCCAACCAAAGCTCCAAACATAGTTTGTCATAGTTATAAGTACACACCTGAGCAATGTTATACACACAAATACAGGTAAATTGTACGGTTGATGGATGACTCAAATTGAAATTCCTAGAAAATTATCTTTCAAGCATAATGGATAATAGTCTTGTATTACAGACACTGCAGAGAGTTTTGATTATATCATGACATCTTCTAAAGTTTCTTTTAGAAAAAAATTATCACCATATCCATATTTTGAATGAGAAATTACCATAACCTTTACATATATATAACTAAAATAATTTAAATGCACTTGTTTATCGGGGTACAATTTTTAGCTGACTTGTTAAAATTAGAACTGTTTCTATCTAATCCAAGCAAACTACATGTAGATATGAAAATAAATTTCAGAAGATATGTTACTATAATAGGGGGACGGCACCACACATAATTACACAAAACAAAACTACGGACAAGACACAATACGCAGAAATCACAAACAAACGAACATATAAGATTAAAGAAATATTTGTCCCAATGGGCAATATCGAAACCTAAATAGCCCTGAGCAGTAAAAGCTTGACACTTAATATCCATATCTAAAATTTGCCTTTCAGCATCTCAATGTGTTGGGTTATTTGTAGATCTGGCCTGCATGATGTTTACCATTAGATTCCACAGTGAGCTATTTCTCAGCATGAAGAAGGTGTCAGTTTGGGTTTTTAAGCACGCTCTTGACTCAAAATACAAACAAAGAAGTTGGGTGTACATATACATCATCAACATGACCATCAGAATAGGGTACAAAGTGTGTTGTTGGTCAAGCCAAGATGGCACCAGCTCAACTGAAATCTCAATAATACAGTTTGAAGTTGATTTATGGCAAAGGTTTGTCATGAACAGGGACCAGTAAAGCCAGTTCTAATTTATAAGGTGCTTTGTGAACAAATATTTCTTCACTATTGTGAATAGAATACAAATGACCATAAACCTGTCATATTTGGTAATAAAGAACTAAATCCACCCGCTAATATACATACTAGGGCAATAATTTCACATCCAATTTCACATTCTTTCATATATAAATGTATATGAAACATAAACTCCCCATAACTGAAAATTCATGATCATGATTTTTGAAATGTCGATTATTGTAACAAAATACTTTAAATTAGTTTGATATATTTTATTCTCTTATTCTCATAGAAACAAAATAAATAGTAATTTAAACAAATTTACAAGTAGTCTAAAATTCACTGTTTAGAGCAGGGGTGTCAAACATGGGCTCGCGGGCCAGATCCGGCTCGCCAAAGGTTTACATGTGGCCCGTGGAACAGATTACAACAAACTGACGTGTCAATAATTCTTAGAAACTAGCGATGAAAATCATTTATGATTGTTTTCCGGTTTCAGTAAAACTCTGACTTCTGTACTATTTGTACATGTATGTTTTACAAGAGAACGTTGTGTTCAATATTATATCTTGGCAATTAGGAAATCAGTCTAAAAAATTACCTATGTCAAGGATGTTTGGATTTGTTTTTAGAATTCAGTAAAGTTCAACAACGTTTTTTTAGTTCATGTGGGTCCTGAATCGAAATGAGTTTGACACCCCTGGTGTGGAGTAATTAGTTACAAAAGTATTATTACATGAATATGATAAATCTACCAACAATCTACATTGTACAGCTCTACATTACGTGAATATAACAACAATCACAAAAAATACCAGTATCATAATCGACTACAGTTTTTCAATAATACTTCTAAAAATGCACATTTGAAGATTTAAACCCATAAGTCATATTTCCAATCCAGTATGTTTATTTCCAATATAAATTTTTCAAAATATCTCTGCTGTTAAATTAACCTTGTCATAATTAAATCATTTAAGGGCTATTTATTGAACCATTAATTGTACAGATATATTTATTCAAAAGATAAATACGAATAATGAGTCTAAATGGGTAATTTTTGTGACAAGTCAAGCATTCACAGTTAATTTGAATATTGATTTTCATTTCTCAGAAGACATTCATTCAATGGACCATGATTCAGAACAACTTGAACAAAAGGTTATTTCTTTACGACACAAAGCATGACATCAGTTGAAATAAAAATACTGTCCAATGCAGAGAAAACCTGTCAACTGAACCATCAACTTTTTACAAGTAATAAAAAGCTACTAAAAGTTTAAAATAGGACAATGACTGTATTTCATATAACTATGGTGATGTAGATTAAATATTTTGTGTGAGGCAGTGACAATAGCGAAAAAAGCTTACAGAAATATTTGAAGAGAAAAAGGATCTCGATAAAATCAAAGAACGTATATTTGTCTTCAGTCACTAAGTGTTTTCGGTAGCCCATTAAACATACATGTATTGGATGATCGATGAATTTCATCTTCTTTTAGAATTATACGATAATGAATGTATTGACTTTTCTGGACCACCCGCATATATTCTTATTTTAATATTATTACCTTAATCCAAATTCATAATTGTAAATTAAACCAAAAAGCTATAAATAAATGTGTGTAGACAAAGTTAAAATTTTCTCTAAAACATGGCTTCTATTCAAAGTAAATATTCTATGTACATATCAGTTACATACATGTACATGTACATCTTGCTGGAATTTAATAAACAGATTTTACCAAAATAAATTATCCTTAAAATCAATTAAATTTTGGCATGTTTATAATTCAAGAAAAATATTTAGTCTAGAGAACTGGTTAACAATACATTTAATTATTACAGTACCGGATCAGTGTCTAACCGGACTGGACAGTGGTCACCAGATGGTGATCAGACAAAAAAACCCAAGTATTATTGCCCCTATCAAATCCCAATAGCACAGAGCATCATTTTTGCTTCACTGCATTACAAAAGTTATGTTAAGAAAATGTTATTGGTCACAACACAATGAGTTGATGAAAAAAGAAATTTGTCATGGTGTGTACAACTTGAGGGAAGAATTGGTTCAGGAGGCTGACAGTTGCCTGACAATAGTGTACACCAACACAGTTAACACTCCCATATCGCCATGTTCATAAAAGAAGTCGTGGTTTCAATAACTTTGTTAAATCAAGCACAAAATTCCCTTTAACATTTTCATCACCATTCATTACCTTCTTCGGGCATATTTTGATTAATTTTGTATTCCTACAAATTATTTATGGACATTTTGTAGAAGATGTACATGTAGTTCGCAGATATTATTTTTTACACTTAAATGTCTTTTCTGTGTCAAAATTAATGAAATTCATTTATAAATAAATATATAAAATATAGAATACATGTATAAGACTAAAAGAAATTTAATGGCAGTGGAATCTGCATGCATGTTTTCTGTAAATTTATATTTTGTTTAACATTTGGTGGTGTAATATTCTAAATAATTTAGTGCTGTAAATATTTAAAAGAATTTGGTGTTGTTGATATTCCAATTAAATATCTGACACTGTGAAAATGTTATCTGTAATGTTGTTAAAATGAAATATGAATGTTTATTTATAAAATCTGTTAATATAATCAGCATGCAGATAATAGTCTAAACATGTACATGTACAAGATATACATACAGAAATTTAAAACTCAAAGACATACGATAGTCACATAAATATCATAAAATATGTATCACTTGACTTAAGTTACCCCAAATTTAAATATCCAACCAAAAGAACAAGATTTAAAAGTAACGTGGCCTTAATGTTTTTTTTCACATTGTCTTTCTTTTTACAACAGACACAATGGTTTTGTAATCCGGTCAATCAGTAATTTGGATATTTTAAATGATAATTTTGAAATCACATCCAGTACATGTACATGTCTAGAGACCACAGAGTGTGTAATGTTAGACAGAGTATAAATGAACTTACTGTTAAAACACACGAGCCCACAGCTTTATTTTCCGGAACCACAGCGCTGTAAAAACTATTCTCAAACTGAGGTTGATTGTCATTCACATCATTGACACTAACTTCCACGGTGGCACTAGAAGACTGTGGTGGGTTACCCCCATCCAATGCCAAAATCACCAAAGAGGGATGGGGGTTCACTTCACAGTCAATGTTCATTTTTGTAGTAATCAATCCTGTCATATTATCGATTTGAAACCATTCATATTGTGTACTGCGATGTTCCAAGATTCGATAGGTAATTTTAGCATTGTTGCCATCATCTGGATCTTGAGCCGTCACCTGGAATACGGATGTGCCTGGATTTGCAACTTCCGTAATATTAGCTCGATAGACATCTTGGGTAAATTTAGGTTTGTTGTCGTTTATATCATCAATGTAAATGGTAAATGATTTTGTTGCACGCAGGGGTGGGGTGCCTGAATCCGTGGCTATGATAGATAAATTATAGTGTGGGGTAATTTCTCGATCGGGTGGTTTCGACACAACGATGAGATACACGACATTATCCTTTGTTGATAATCCAAAAACACCATTACCTCCAATCAACGATACACTCACGTCCACATTTCGATCATTGGGGCTGTCTGGATCACTGATTGAAATTCTGGCAACTGATGTCCCATTTTGGACATTTTCTGGAATTCTTGCAGACTGTAAAAATTGGAGACTAATATTTGCCGGAAGTTCATTAATATTTTTCAAATAAATTTCTAAAGAGACACTGGCAGGTTGTTTATTTAAGCCCTGATCTTCTGCTTTCACAACTAAAATATATTTTGGGTGAGTTTCATAATCTAAGGGTTTATTTACAGTAATTTCTCCCGTCACAGGGTTAATTATAAAATGCTCTTCCGGATCACCCTGTTTAACTAAAGAATATCGAATTCGACCGTTATCACCGGAATCTAAATCGGTTGCATATACTTGTAAAACACTGGTGCCAACTGTGGCATTTTCTGGAATGAGTGCAGAATAACGACTTTGGTTAAAGATAGGTTGGTGATCATTTTGATCTAATATCTCTATCTGAACATTAAGATCCCCTGTACGAACCGGGTCACCGCCATCCGATGCACGTACTACTAAATTATAATGTTGCGTTGTTTCATAATCCAACTGTTTGTTAATAATTAAATCTACTAATGTATCAAAGCTTCCTGATTGTTTTGTGTCCAAAGAAAAAGCACCGTCAATATTTCCTGAAATTATTTCACATTTTTGAGTACTATTATTACCTAAATCTTTATCGGTTACACTTCCAAGTGCTATTTTCATATTCACTGGAGCATTTTCCGAAATTTTTAATTGTTTCGTCCGGTTTTGAAATGTGGGATTGTTGTCATTTATGTCTGTTAATTTAATTTCGACACGCACAGCACTTTCAGGATTATCTGGCAGTAAAATAAATACAAATGGCTGATTGATTCTTTCCTCTCGATCTAATATCACTTTTGTTCGTATTTCTCCATTATCTAAATTTACATTGAACCTGTCTTTAATTTCACGTTCATCTTGCCCATTTGGTTGGAGCAAAGACGAAAATGGGGGAGCCAGGCCCGCACCCCCCACAATTCCAACTAAAGTGCCTGGGGGTTCTCCTTCTGCCACGAAGAAATACTCATTAAATTCCAAGCCATTCTGTGTTGAAGATGGTATTAAAGTAGTTAGCACTAGTATATACAGTACATGTACGCATGTTAAAGACATTTTTCTAGTTTTTCTTCTCATTTTTACATTCAAGTCTTTGGTTGTGCCCTCCACAACCTTATTTTCTATATTCCCTAATTCATGTCACTGACTTGATTGTCGTGAGTTGAGTTCCATGACAATTATTACACATTATTATGACTTCATCACTGATGTCTCTCTGAAAATAAAATATAAAAAAAACTAGTTCATATATATTTTTAAAATGGGTGAGGTGGGGTAAGGAGAGTGCACAAAATGAAAAGTTACAAAACTCTGTACAGTAATTTGTTTGAGAAAGGGAGGGGAGAGGGGTGTGCAAACCAGAACCAACTTTAGCTTCATAAATTATAAGCTGATATAAGCTTAGTCAAATGACAAATAAAAAGGAAACACATCATTTGACACTGGAAATATTAAAGTAGTCAAGTCTCAAACTCAATATCATCCGAAGTCTTCGACATTGAAAACACAAATTATTTGGCAATTTAAATCAACATTGATGTTGTGATCTTACCGGGAAAAGATGGGCTTCTGATATCCAATATTTAAGACAAAATAAACATTTTACCATTGGTTCACGATTCGTGTACCATAATGCATTTAAGTGCCATTATCTGGAGAGCATGTGCAATAAATACTTTCAGTGTAGACTGGAATAACCAGACGCTAGAGAGTGCCATTCAATTGAGATTTTTGGCGTATTTCGCCAAACATAACTGATTTGAAATTAAGAGTAAATATGGAAACGACTGAATGTAAATCAATTTATATACATTCAGATTACATTATTATATGCGTTGTGACCCATTTTTGTCAATTTCTAGGTGCCAAAAATTAATGATTTAGCTCTTTTATTAATTACCATAACATGAACATAAGCCAACTCTTAATTAGTATGTATATGCAAAATGATTACCAATAGACCAAATTGTGTATTGGATAAAAAGAATTAGCTAATGACATGGTATGGTACCAATAATTATCTAGTGTACCTGGTACACCTAGACAGAAGATCTATCGACCAACTTCACAATATAATATTATATTTTATTACAGGTAGACAGGCAAGTAGGGAATACTCTGGTATAAGTCAAGTTTTCACATGGCCTTCTCTACTAGTGTTGATAAAATATAAAAGCCAACCAAACTCTCAGCATGCAATAATCAGCAAACTTGTCTATAACAGCTAAATTAAGCTGGATATAACGCTGCGTAAGCTTAGCAAGAAATGTTATTCTCAACTTGTCGTTCAGAAAATAACAAATCTTCCCTCTACACCGTCAATAACAAGCGCCTTGAATTGTGGACTACACATTGACCACCGCACTGTGGCTTATTAGCGCACCTGAGCGACTCACCTTCCTCCGTAAATTGCATTAGAGTTACACATTATATCCATAGTTGCTTGTAAGTTTACGTCCATGTACACAGAAGTAAAAAAGAAGTTACTCCATTTGGTCAGAATAGGTATAAGCGATATATTCCTTTAGCACGATTCAACGTGCGTCCGTTCACAACGAATGCTTGGCTTCAATGTGTAATACCTATGAGGCTCGTCAGGGAAATAGAAGAGCTAACTGTGAATAAACAAACCTTTCCAAAATAAAACGAACACAACTTTCCGTTATCACTTTCTAGCTTTGTTGATTATATAAAACACAGAGTTGTGGCATTTCATCCGCCTGACCCTAATTTAGTAGTAAATGTGGGTTCTCAGAACAATTACTAGGTGACCTGTCGAGTCTCACATCACGTGACCATCTCAAAGCCGTCTGCTTGAAAGTGGGAAGAAGTATTGAAAACACAGTCATGCTTGAAAGATTCTTATGATTGCTAAACATAAAAGAGTTCGATATCACAAACAATAATTGTCCATTTCCAAAGTAAATATATAACGTCAATATTCTATGCTACAAGAACAACTCTTCTAAAGAGCGAAAATTTCCATTACAATGAAAACGCTTGGCAATTGAAGTGTCGACCAGGCTTTAGATCAATTTGTTAAAATGTTACCTAAACGTTTTTATTTAGGTAAAGATTATAACATTGTTTTCGAAAATTATATACGGTGAACTGAAAACCCCATGCTAATATATAGTGCCATTAAGTGCCTGCAATATCGATACACGCTTGTGGTATATCATATTGTACTTGTAGTACACCGACACCGAATTGGCATATATAATATATACCCAAATATGAAATATTATTTATATCTTGAGTATATGATCGTTGAATATCATTTTATTTACATACGTGGAAATGTCCTTTGACATAATTAAATTTTAACATTTATTTTTTTAGTTTAGTTTTATTTTCATATTTTTGGCCTATTTATCAACAAATTCTTCGCCTGAACTACCTACTTCATTTTAATATTTATTTCAAAGTTTATAACATCCTACGCACCTGCAAAATTGGAGTTTGCCGAAAAAAAGTACTTCGTCTATTAGGCTATTTCGTAGAAACATAATATAGGCTAATTAAGGTTCAAATTCCCTACCAATACACAACTGTGGACAGTCAATTATATTTGAAAGTTTAGTCGGAGCAGAACAGTAGGACGCTAAACCTCATTAAAAAGAAAAAAAAAATATTTGAAAGTTTATTACATGCTCCAAAAAGCAGTGGGCCTAGGGTGTACTACTAGTTAGAGTGATATTTACTCAAGGCTTGCTAGGTAAATGGTTTTTTAAGATGTATAGGTTAAAAACGAATTCTATGGCCAGACGTGACAAACAAAAATGATAGAGGCGTCCACGTTCTTACACTATTGACATCAACTTGGGTTAAATATGGTGTAATGACTCTTTTCTGTGACGAAAGTCATTAACAGGCATGTGTTTACGAACCAGTATATTATAGATATGTAATAATATAAGTCTACGGTGAATAGCATTGTACCTTGTTCGACATAGACGATATACGTAATGGTATTGACAAAAACGACGGGAAAGGGCTCCGTTTAATTCAAGATCCACAGGATGATAATAGTTTTTTTTAAATTGGATGAATTTATTTCAAATAGATAAATATTTCTAAAACAGGTTTGTTAAATCGTCAATTATTTTCTTATAGTATAAATTGTTGTCGTTGTCGATCTCATTTATTTGAAACATGGGCTCGTCATTTCATTTCAAAATAATATTAATTGTAATTTTTCTAGCAGATTCTATTTCCAATTATCATGTGAAATGTAGACACCGTCCAATTATTTCAACAGAAAAATGAGGCATTCCTTTTGAAAAAAAACCAACAAAATTTATACACACGCAACGTCATATCATCGTCATTATTCAGTTTACCCGATGTTTTCTTTTTTTGCTTCCATAGATTTTGTTTAATTTACTTTGGTGAATGAACAATGATACTTGATAACAAATTGTAAAAGACATGACGAAAAAAGAAAAGAACTGTTCAGATTAATTCTAGCTCATGAACCAAATTATTTAAAATACTGTTGATGAATAAAAATACAGAAATTTTAAAATGTTTAGGAGCTTTTATATACAATTCGTTTATGTCTCTGTAAAGCTGTGTATCTTTGTATAATTATGTCAATGTATATATCCTTTGTTTGTTTCATGTATCTTTCTATTATGTTTATTTGTATATGCACATAACCTTGTAAGGTTGTTTTATGCAATAAATAAAATGAAATGAAATGGAGTTTAACGTCCTACTGTTCTGCTCCTAACCGGGGCTAATGAAGACGGGTTTATGCAATAAAGTTTCTTCTTCTACTTTATTTATATTTTCAATATTTCTGATTTATAATTCTGGATTAATTTTGTTTTGAGAATTGTTTTGTTTAAAAAAAACTGTAAGTGAATATACGGACGAAATACATAATGAACGTTTTAGACGATGGAATACTACAACTTTTATTTGGTAATTTTATCAGATATTTAGAAATTCTTAATATTACTTGATTAAATATTTCGTTATAAATAAATTGAAAATTTTTAAAATTGTTAGTATTAAAACAATTATTGATATTTAAAAAAATTGGCACTTGATATTTAATCCGTAGACTATAATATAATGGGATATTCAGTTAAAACCCACAGTAAGCCTATCCCAGCTTATAGATTATTATTTCAACGTATTACCACAAAGTATTATTAATAACAACACCGTATTATAGGCCTATACTTCCATATTACATAGCATTTTTAATAATAATATTTTGTATTTTATCCATAGTCGCCTGGCGTAAACCAGTGTGTTCTACTATTTCAATAATATCATTGCAAATTTATTTTCAGCAATATAATATGGGATCGTCTTCCATAATATATCCGAGATGGAATATACATATTTCTGTATACTGTATTAAAACAATTTATATATATACCGTCTTCTGCTCTATTGTTGTCTTGTATTGATCAAATTTCCGTGTTGTGTATTTATGCAGCGTATGTTATAAACGAATAAAATAAATAATGGACCGTTTTGACCAAAAGTATAGATCTAAATGTCACTTTTCTAAATTGAACATCAACATGCCCGTCGCTATCGTCTACATGAAAGAGAGAGCGAGAGATAAACGTCAATATTCTTGTGGCTAAAAAATTATATTTACTGATTTCCCAAGAAAATTATGTTAAAACCATATAAATCAGATTTCCACATGGAATAATAAATGGGTTTACAAATAAAATAAATCCACCAAAACATTTTACGTGTAAGAAAATATAATACAAAAATACAAAAAATGTTAATATATTTTGGTCTTGATTCTCTCACAAGAAGTCGTGAGTTTACTTATATATATACGTTTTATTTATATTCATTAAGGAATATTATCAAAGATATTACATATTAGTTTTTAGAATTCATAGTATAGATTGCAATCTGATTAAAACACAGATCCTATTTCGTTTCGTTTTTAATAGTTCAAAATTTCGTTTTAATTGTCTTTACTACACTAGTGTCGGTCATCGAAAGTATAAAAAACGAACGAAATATAGAATTGTATTTCAATCAGATTGAGTAGAAGAACACAAAGCAAACTTATAAAAATGAAAGAATAATTTTGAGACAAGGCAGAGCCTACTATTTTATGTATACACAATTACTGAGTTTATAATACTAAGCGACGTTTCGACGACTGACGAGGATACTGTCGTCTTTATCAAGCAGTGAAATGAAATGGGGTTTAACGTCCTACTGTTCTGCTCCTATACTGGGCTAATGAAGACGGGCATACGCCATACAGTGTGCTATGAGGGAAATTTTGCCCGGGCAGCGGCAGTATCGCCTACTCTTATATCGAATTCCAACTGCCAAGGGATCTTTTACCAGTTGGAATTCGATATAAGAGTAGGCGATAGTGCCGCTCAAGCAACGTATTACCACAAAGTTTTAGTAATTTGCTTGATAAAGACGATGGTATCCTCGTCGAAACGTCGCTTAGTATTAAACTCAGTAATTGTGTATCCATAAAATAGTACCTTGTTTTAATATGTTCAATTACTAAATGCCAATCAAAGAAAATAATTTTGAGTATTACCAACCTTCCTTGCGTCGGTATGTGGTGTAAATGAATGTAATGATAGATAAGAATAAGCCTAATTATGATTCATTATTGTCTTCATAATATATTAATCATAAATGTCAGGAATTCAATTGATCGGAGGGTCGGGATGTGGGAGTGACAAAGACTGAGCGTGACGCACGTAGTAAAACAACAGCGAATGCAAAGGGAGATAAATGCTATTAGTAACCGTGTTTTTTGTTAGCGGTTTTGAATGAGAATTAACGATTTCTAAAAATAATTCCGTGTGCAAATCTTATTATGTAATATTCTCATTATGTTAAAAAGTAACCATATTAATTAATGAGTTACGCAAATATATCTCCTTGACTATATATTACCAGAAGCAAGGAGAAATGAAACCATGGATAATGAGATTATGTTAATCATTATAGCGTGTAAGTGGTTCACTCAACTACAAGAAAACTGCCCACAGGTAGCCTAAGTTCCCATGAATAGCCATTACTGAATTTAATGCCAATACAAGACGCACCGCCTGGAGCCAGTCAAAGGATTAAACTAATATAATCGTGTTAATTATAACAGCTGCTTGTTCTTTGTTATGTTTACAGACCGTTATTTCATTAACCCCGCCATTTATTTTCACAGTTGCTCAGCTCTTATACTAACACGAATTACGCAATTCGACTTAAAATGGCTGCTCGTGTAACGGTAAAAACCTAATGTTGTCATAATCCCATCTTTATAATACGGAGGCGTTTTTACTAAATTACTTTATAATTCTATTATAAGCACATTAAAAAGGTGAGCATTAGTTGACATTTACTATGGGAAATTGAGTAATTTAATTTGGACTTGAGTATAACGTGTTGAGCCTCTAGGGGTGTCACACGAAACCTTTCTAAAGAAATCAAAATGATGATCTAATTTAGTTATTCTAAAAGAAAGCGATAAGACAATAGATGTCAATAACTTCAGCATTGGATATTCCATTTTTTAAACGACCAAAAATGGCATATTT